TATATATACAGTATATAATTTGCTAAAGATCAAAAAACTAAAGTCAACTTCAGTTGCAAAGTTGAAGTCCAGTTGCTTAGTTTCTTTTAGTTACTTTTTTGGTTTATGACTGAGAATCCACCAACATATTTGCTGAAGAAAAGCAACCATTTATTATTTAGTTGTATAGTTGACATCTTATCGAGGGGCAGCTCCTTCACTCAGGTCAACCTTGTGATGATCTCCTGATCCAACTTTTGACTTACTTTCTCCTTTTGATGTCATTGAAGTCCACACCCCCTCTCATTCTAAATCTTCCAATCACATCAACCTCACGGTTGCTCAGGCACCTGTGACCAGGCTTGGGTGACAGCCTTTGACCTGAGTGGGTCACAATCAGAGAATTAGAGAAACCAGGCAGAGGAGAGACAATACTGGACTTAAATTTTTAGCCCACATAGATGAAACTCATCTCTGGGAGCAGTCAGGTTGCCACACCCAACAAATTAAGGAAACTGCACATGCTGTCTGAGACCGGTCGTTAGTGCAAGGGCAAGGAGTTTTTTTCTAGTTTTTAGCCGGATGTGAGGATCAAGGAGTGGAAAAGAGAGCAGGGGGAATCGATGAAAGCTGGCAGGCATTTTAATTAGCCTAAATCTCTCCAGTCAGGGGGAAAGAACAGAGAAGATACAACATCAATGGGAACACACGGAGCAAGGGACAGGAAACAAAAGAACAGGAGGGGGGGATTGCACCCCCACTGATTGACAGTGCCAAATTTATTTARGCTGCACCAAAGCTGATATTCTCTRATAAAGATTACTGTACACATGAAAACACACTCCCTGTCAGCTTATCTTGTAAATTTTATGCGGTAATTATTTAAAATGTGGAATTTAGAGTGATGTGCATGAGAAGCCACCCTGTAAATGAGTAGGCAAAATGTTTCCGTCCTGGGAGAAATTCTCCAGTTTTTATGTGAGTGGCTTTAAGCAGCACATTAAAAAAGAAGAAAGCCCATAAAAAGGCCTCTCAGTGAAAATCAAACAGCATTTTTCCACGTCTTCTTGCATGCTCATCATCTCCTCCACCTCCAATCCTTATCCTCTACATCTTTAGTTTTTTTTCTCTCTCTCTACTCCTCCTCAGCAATCTAGTCTATAATTTTTTTTATTTAATTTTTTTTTTGTCACAGGAGTTTAGCCCAAGTATCTGCAGCAGCGAGGCATGAAGGAAGTAGAGGCGATGGTGGTGTTGAGGTCACGTCTTTTCCCAGCTCCCCACTGCTGCRGTTTTCCATCTTTAATGAACCTTCTCAGCACTGAGAGCAGGAACAGGAGAGGCACATAAACTGGGCTGAAATCAGCTGAATAAATTGAGTGGCAGACAAATAAAACTGTTTCATTCAATACAAGTACAAAGTTTTCACAGACTCACTAAAAACGAACAGAGGCTATTTTGTAAAGCTCATTTACCAWATAAAGCTAAGAAGAGTGAAAGTTTGTTTCGTCTCCATTGTTTTGTTTTTTTTTACCTGGTTGGCCTTTTTTTTTTAGCTGAGCAGCAACTTTGATTTGCAAGACTAAAAACTAAAAATAAAACAACTTGATGGATGGGCTTTTCCCAATCTAATTATCCCTGATGTGATCACGGTCATCTGCAGTGGAGTCTTTTGAGCTGATTGTGGGACAACAAAAGCATTAAGGACCCCAAGCACGGGAAGTGAGTGACCTAAATTAAAAGTTAGCATTGAGTGAAAATGTGTTTATGTTTATTCTTCCACTGGCAGCATGCCATCATATCATGGCTTCATCACACTGCCTATGTGACAGTGCCAAGTTTTGTCTCTAGCCAGCCCACCCAGGATGGCCTGGTAATGGCCATGTCTAATCAGCCTTGCACACATGCATGCACATATCACATCTTTCTACACACACACACACACAGAGAGAGAGAGAGAGAGAGAGAGAGAGAGAGAGAGAGAGAGAGAG